TTCGGCTAGTGGGGGTACTGAACCGCACATTTTTTGTTTACAACCCGCACGAGGCATCTAGTGCACGCAGTTCGCTGGATAGTGTAGTGGGTGTAGTGCTTCGGATCCTTTGTTCAAGTCAGCGGATAATTCGAAACATGCTTTTAGAGCGCGTTAATGAGCGTAAACGAATTTAATGAATAAATTTTGTAACGCCTAGTCATTAATGAATTCAATGAGCATTTTTTACCCACACACTTTTCTCTTTATATTATTCAAAACTGCAGACTTTTGAAGATGATGTACATAACCACAACTTCCTATCTACGATATTGTATTATGCACCATAATCTCACTTTCCCACTGCCGATAGCTACAAAGCATTGCTATCTCTGTTAATACATGAAGAAAGAGAGGGATGGCGATATGTTTTTGTACGAATAGAAAATATATTTGGACCGGCATATGACCTCTCAGAAAAATGTTTAGTTTCAGGAACGATACCTTGATAGGCTGTAACTCTCATGCAGTGAACTCTTGCAATTTATTCAAAAACGTAAAAACAACAAAATCACAAAACAAGGAATCAAATAATTTATTAGATACGTTATAAATAGCAGCATACTATATTATTTATACTTAGTAATTGTTAGGTAGTGTTTTGTATTTTGTACTAGGGTGAGGGTCCGATGGTGACCTCAATTCAACCCCTATGACCTCGCGGTACCAGGACACCATGAGACGTGTAATACAATTGCACACAATACAACTCACGTGCCACTCAATAGGTTTGCTGCGATGTATACCGATGACTAATATCCCCAAAACAGGTGTGTTTGTTTACGAAATTATGCACCTTTAGTAAAACGTTGTTATAAACAGGAAAATGAAGAAATTCAATTTAGTTAATACAAGTTCATACATCGAATGTTTTAAAAAGTAAACCAAAGAATTCTACTTTTCTATTAAGTGTCATACATTTATTGAAAAGTCCCATAAAACTTCCAAAAACAAATTCAACATTAAAAAAGTACGTGACAATTTTACAGGACGTAACAATTCCTAAGCATCAAAGCGGGAAATGTATTATGCAAGGGCTCTCGGTTGATTTAATCAGAGCTTCTCAAAGCTATAGGACCCTGGTACCGAGGGTGCTATGGGGGCGGATGACCCAGTTTCAGTGAGGGTGCCCATCCAGGCCCTAGCCCCATCGATCCATGGCTTTCACATGCTACGTAACAATAAACCCCATGATTTACTGTAACATATTTCAGTAAGAATATATTTTCCTAATGCTCTTACGGAATTAAATTTTGATTTATACGACACAAAATATTTTATATGCCTTTACTGGATTAGACAAAATGTTTTGCTTATGATGTAGTTATAAATATGTTTTGTTACGCAATTAAGATAATAATTTTTCATTGTCTACACTAATATTATAAAGAAGAAAGATTTGTATTATTGTATGTTTTCTATTCACCATCCTTTCACCATTCGAAAGGTAATTTATCATATCTGTGAGTAACATAAGGCTATATAATATTAATTATTTTTTTATTTTAAGCGGACAAAGTCGCGAGCAACAGTTAGTTATAAATAAAATAGTGTTTATTTTGTTCGTACAGTTTCACATGTGGATTCAAAGACCCACAGTGACCTTTTCTATTTATATTATTTTCTAGAATGGTTGGTTACGACAGTTCCGCTGCGTTTGTTTCTTAATTAATTCTTATTGTAGTGTTAACATTCGACAAAGCAAATCATAGGATCAATCGACTTTTAATATGTAATGTACATAAATAACAGTTGTCTAAAAAGCACGTGTATATGACAGATGCACGGTAAGTCTTCAATCAGGCGGCAGATGGCGTTGAAGACGTCGGCCCTGCAGTCGCAGGTATAATCCTAGAAAGCTTTAAGGAACCGAAGTAATGTTGTTAACCAAAAATTACGTTACAAAAACAGGATGCAAATTTCCGTTATAAATAAATACTAGAAATATATCCTGATTTCGTTCAGGTCCGGATCGCTAGGTTACTTGCTTGCGTAAGACAGTTCTATGGGTAAAAGTTTTTAACGTTGGCGCGTAAATGATTTTATAAATAACACATTGGCTCCAGATAGGATTCGAACTACACTCGTTGTGTTATCTACTGATTGAACTATGAGTTTTAGTTCATGCCATAATTAACTTACTTCTCTTAGTAAATATATTTCGAAAGTCGTATGAAAGCCGAAGTTGACTTACGTCATTACTTATTTCATTTGACATCAATAGTCCTACAATAATGTTTTACAAAAAATATTAAGTACAAAAGACCTATCTCTTTCTTCAAATACAAATATGAAAGTGTTATAAGATTTGATAACATGGTATTCTTATTGCGTTTAAAGTCCGATGCAAACGTCAGCTGCAACGCCATCTTGCGTCGTAAAAAATAGGCCAATAACATGGATGGCAAAAAAAAAGGTCGAAGAAAAGTAAAGATGGCGGCAGGTGTGGAGACAGCTGCTCGCGCGCACCTTTGTATTTAATTGAACCGCGCGCTATTACTTATTTTGTTCGTTTGAGTTAAAGACTTTGACCGTTTGTAAGTTATTCAACTACTAACTGTCCCTAACCGACAAATTAATATGTCAGTTGTAATATCCAACTTATCAATTTAAATCAAGAGACTGTTAAAACAACAGATATGTGACGACGAACTAATACCGATTTGACTGACTTAAGAATTGTGTAGTGTGCAGTAATGTAAATACAAAAGTAATTACATTAGTGCCTGTAAATTTTAAATATCTCTGGTTTCTGCCTTTATCGGTACTGCAAACTCGTAATATTCAGCGATCCTTTAACTTAGGCTATTTCCTCTTTTGTTTTATAATTTCAAACATACTCCGAAAGAACAGTTCCATATAACAGCCGTCATTTCTCAATTATTTTTTCACAGACCCTTTACACAATACATCCATACATTGTTCGTCTAACCGAACTAAAAGGTTTATTGATATTCAAGAGGCCTTATATGATAATAATATTACAATGTATATCTGTACACAATGCAGTGAGCGTGCGCAGGTGTCGAACCCGACGCCACCTCGCCGACGACGCACGTGTGCTCGCATCTGCCCACGTCATTACGTCTACCTGCTAAACCTCTGCTGCCAGCTGTGCTCCTGGTGCTATAAAAATCTAAATTACTTTAACTTATTACTTAGCTATCGAAAACTTTGTAACAAAATCCTTAATGTTGACTTATCTTAACATAAAGATTATTATAAATTCGAAAGTGTGATTATTCCAGAAATGACAAAAAACAAATAACATCTTCAAATGGTATGTGGATATGTGTAATATCCTGTACTGGTTAAAAATGTGTATTTTATTAGCGAACTGTAATTACATGTTGAATGAACTGGTCATTCAATTGTAAAGTGACCGCGCAGATGGACACGTATCGATAAAAATGTCGTTTCCACCTTGCAGTGTGAGTGACCATGCGAGGTGGCTGACCCAAATAGAATGTAGGCATCTAGGGTCATTGGTGGTCTGTGGAATCTTCCATTTCTAGTTTGGTTACTGTCCTATTAGAATCATGTCTATTTTAGAATTAGACCGCTATTTTAATTATTCGTAATGTATAAAAGAAGGAAACCAGAGGTACTCTTGATATTTCTAAAGGTAGGGCCCTCTAGCGTCCAAAATGAGCAACTTTGGACATGTGTGATTTTGTTTTAATGATTACTGAACAAGCCAATATTTTATAATAAAAATAATTCAAAATGGCGGAGTAAGAAAAATACAAAAAATCACATGAAATGTATTTTTATTATTTATATGATTTGTTTGAAACTACACTATGTACATACATACAACAAATTAAAAGCACACTCATATATACATACAAATTGAATATATAAAGATGTTTAAAAATTTAAAACAACTTTATTTTGACTATAATAAAATGCGGACTAAATTTAATTACTTCAAATCTATGAATGTGTGGGAGATGTAAATAATCTTATTTTGGTGCTATCATTTCATGTTTTATTTTCCTTATTTTGTACATTAGATTTTAAATTCACCATTTTCTTTTTCAATTTAAACTAAGTAATATATGATGTTTACAATTAACTATGAGTCTAACTTATATTTCTATTTCATTATCTAAGTCATACCCCCAACATGTCTAGCAATGAACAAGGCACCAATGCTGTTTTATTATTTAAATTTTCTAAAACAGGGGTAAGCTTCCTGTGGCAAACATTCAAAGTGGGAATAAAAAATAAGTAAAATACAGTACTGACAGTAATTAGATACGAAAATATATGACACAATATAATAAAAAGTGACTCTAAAACCCATTACAAGTATCACAGCAATAAAATATCCATATCCAAAAAAGGTTGCCAATCCCTGTTCCACAGGCCTAAAATAGTGTACAAAATTGTTGTTTATTTAACCAGAACCAAGATGAATTGATTCTTGATTCACTTTTGAGTCATCCTTGTCTTTTAACAGTATGGATTGCATACATTTTATTTGGTGCTCTGAAAAGTTTAAAGTTCCTAAAATATGTAATTGACTGGCATATTAACATTACATTTTGATGAAAGATAAATGTGTTGTTTCTGTCTACCCTTATATTTTCCTAATGTGATTTATGTTGTTTGCTAGATTTCTAATCGAAGCTTATAGAGTAGTTTCTTCAATTATTGAGATGTAATTTGTAAAAAAAATTGGAATGTTGTATTTTAGTACAAATTTCCTCAACTCATCTACTTAGTCCAAATAATCTTTGGTATTATAAATTAAGGGGCATCAATAGATCTTTATTTAATATTCAGTTTTTAATCAAAATGCCCCACTTCATTTAACTCATTAAAACTAGTCAATCCTTTCAAGATGTGTCAAATACATATTATTTAATTATTTCCAACATAAAAAACTTCCTTCTTTTAGTAATAGGTCAAAATTACCAAACTATGATGTAAATGTGAAGAAATAAAAATATACAAATCTTTCAAAATTTAATATTTTTTTCATCTTAATCTATACTCAAGAAATTTTTTGTCTTGAGCTATAACAAGTGCGGCACAATAATTATTTGACTTAGAAAATAATCTGCTGATCACAGATATGCTAAAAATAAGTGCAATTCCGAGAAATAGAAAAAATAGTACAGACACTGAATACAAAAATAAGGAAAAAACAATCCATTATAAATAATAATGACAAAAAATTAATAAATGTCTTAATAAAAGAAAACATTTTTTAATGCACTATGTATTTGCACCCATCACAGAATATGCCATAATACAAATTGTTCATGTTCTGCAAACTGTAGAGACAAAAATCTATTGAAAAGTTTAGTTTATTAAAGTAACATTTTGCTATATTCAACAATGTACAATTCTTACTCTGTATGTATACAATTATGTTAATTTAGCTACATAATACACCTAACAAAAACAGTCATATTAACCTTTATTAGGCATAAAAATTGCTTTTAAGAGTAGCCATTCCATATTGTGGCAAATTCTATTTAACATTGGCAACAACTCAGCAACATGTATACAAAAATATATCAAAGTCATATGACCATATTTAATGTATTTACTAACATTTGTAACAAGCACATGAGTACTGTAGTCTATGTAAGGTGAATTTATTTCTATTTACATATCAGAAGAAAAAAAAATTACCTGCATATCAGCACTGGATAATCGAAGCACAATATCTGTTCATTAATAATTTAAACAAATCACCAAAATCACAAACTGAAATATTCTATTGACAAATAAAATAAATCACTTCAAGAGCAACTGTTTGTACACAATTCACTGTACACTCCGTAATGTTCCAGAATGTTCCGGATTGGTCCGGAATGATCTAGTCATAGTCAATGTCCATATTGTATTGGCGCTCGCCCCGCTCGTTGCTGGAGTTGAGCGAGGTTGTGGAGTTGCTGCCGGTGGAGTTGGAGGTGGAGTGCTGCGGGGCCCACACCCCACCTGTCGTCACCGAGGACGTGGTGGACGTAGACCCCGAGGTGCTGCTGGAGTCTGCCAGCGAGTCCCACGTCTGTGTCTGCGGGCCAGTCGATTGCGGTCGCCTGGTTAGCCTCCGTAGGATCACGCGCGGCAGGGACGCTGAAATGTTAAGAGATCGTAATTAATATTATAA